GCACCCTCCCTCACTGGGGGGCGTTGATCTGCCACCCCCACACCCTTTCCCTTCCCTCTTCCCCTTCTACCACACTGGACTTACCACCTGATGGCAGCTGTATTGGATATCATATCAGTATCAGCCGATATGCCTCCTTAAATATCGACTATCGGTATTGGCCCGCAAAATCTCTATCAGTGCACCCCTAGTAGAGAGAGTAAACTGCACCATTGATTCCAGACTTCCAGTAAAGATCAGGGAGATTTGTATTTGTATATAATGAGCTTGGATTCAGGTGTCTATTACTTTGTGAAAGATTATATTTGGAATCAGCAAATAGATGGTTCAGTGTTCATGCAGCAAAAACCAGCAAGACTCCCTGCATCTGCACAAGAAACTCATACAGGAGACTTCACCAGTCATCTGAGGACAGCATTCCAGAAGAGCTAGAAACAACTAAGTGAGAATCAAGCATATCAAGCATAAAATGCCAAGGAAAAAAGAGAATTAAGTACCCATTCAGGGAAGTGAAAAAGTGTGACCACACAACTAGAAAAAGCTGTCAAGTAAAAAATTTCAGACATTATTTTCTTTTTGGGATTAAAGCTATTCAGAGCATTGTGACCAAAATGTTTTAATAGAGGTTATTGATATGGATAGACGCGTATATTTTAAATGCAAGATTATATTATTATTTAATCCGATGTTAGATTATAAAAGTACCATTTAATACTTTTATCATTGAAATAACCAAGTGACACTGAACCCAGCTGTATTAAAATTTAACCAAATTGCTAATAATAGTTTCACTAGCATGCCTGATTTAACGAGATCACAACAATTGGGGAAAAATACTGAGTAGACTTGTCCTAGGTAATCATTTGGATTTATCTGGAGTTCAGTATTGTTGATTAAACCCCCAGTTGGTGGTAGCAGGTCTACAATGAGGTGCTTAAGTACTGGGCTGGGGGTCTTATTCTTCATTTTATGTCCATCAGGTTCATTTTCTTAGCCAGCCACTTTATCCACACCACAATACAAGTGTGCCCTAATCATACAAGCTCTCTGATTCCAAAGAGTAGTTGTAGACCAGAAAGGACAAATAGTTCCTCTATGGCAAACTTAGATTTTTAAAAATATGTGACAGAGGTGGCTGATAAATGTCACTTAGATCTATTCACCACATAATTTCAAGCAGATAATTCCACTTCCCCCAGTCAAGACTTTTTATGTGAAGTGAGACAACATTGGAGTATGTGGTCAGACATCAATGAATTGAAGAGGAATATTTATCAGGCAGTTTATACTGTGACAGTATTTTCAGAAACCCATCTTGGTCTGAGCCTTTTTAACCCAAACCATTTCAGACAAGTGAAAAATTAATTCACAGTGTTCAGTATTTCCATTGGCAAATAAAAGTTTCAGCATTTCAGGTAATATATCAAATATACATTAGGTGGAAGGAACCCTAGAGTTATTCAGTAGTTCATATACACCCCAGCCCTTTAAATTTCTGGGGAAATTTGTCTTTTCCAATACAATATGTTGTCCAAGACTTCTTGAACTGGCTATTGAGAACTCAATTAATAAGCAGTAATGAACAGATTATGTTCATTTGTGTGAATAGTAGATTCTGAAGCTGGTATTTTCTCTTACTACTAATTGAGATGTCCAGTTTTGTCTCAGAAGATTTAAAAAGTCGTATAGTTGCCTTGTTGGTCTCTCTCAAAACAGAATCAGGAAAACAGCATCTTTGTAATGTTCTGTTTACTTTTACCTTGTCATTATATATAAAATAGAATGGGGGTGCTGATGTGTGTAACCGCTTTTATAGAATAAAAACATACAGACCAGGTGGACTCAAGGAAAGGAGCTCAGGAGGTCCTTAAAAGAACAGAACAGAACTGCCTTTGATTATAACCTAAATATTCATTTACATGAAATTATGATTAAAGAGTCAAAACCGTAGATATGGAGTTAGGTAGACAAATAAACCCTGTAACAGCTCTTCCTCCTGGCTTAGTGCTCATTCTTTTTTTTTAGTTTCTATATAACTTTGAACAAATTACTCAAACTTTTGGTACTTTTGTTTCCCCCCCATGTAAAATAGGAATTATTAAGCTAAACTTCTTTTTGAGGTCTTTAATAAAAGTGTTCTTTAAACTAAACAGCAGCAGCAGTAAGTCTATTTACTTTTAGCCTGATGAAAACGTACAGCAGCTGCTATGACCACAGCAGATGTGACTGGATAAGAGATGGCTAAAGATAACTTACAAACAACTTTGCCATCTCATAAATTTGTTGCATTTTTTTTCAGTCATGTCTGGATACAAGCAAATCTGCTTGTTCTGTCTGTCAGACATGAACTTAAAAAATAATGGATTCTGATGCCTGGGGGTTTGAGATGGTGGAATCATTGGGCTCCTATATACATGTGTGGAGCCTGCGTGTCGGAGCAGACTCAATTGAGTCTGCACAGAAATTGACATGCTCTGGCAGCTTTCCACATCATGCATCCCAGCGTGTCTCTGTGCTGAAAAAATGGCGCTTTGAAATAAAACGCGTTCAGTGAGCTTTTGTTCAAAGCTCCCCACCGCCATTTTTTCTGCACAGGGATGCACAGGGACACTAATACACATGACACATGGGCGCTTTTAATTAGTGCGTTGCGCTAATTAAAGCTCCTGGCACCGTGTCCCACAGCACATGTAAAAAAGCCCATTAATTGCAAGTAATTTGTTTTAGTATCACTTGGTCCTCATTCTGTTCACAAATTTCATTTCTTGATAAATAAATCCCTGCTAGCAGCCTACATTTGACTTTCCATGACCTAGTAGTTGAGTAAATTTCACTTGGGCAAAAGTTTGTGATAACTAAATGAAAAACATAGGTAATTGAAATGTAATTCATGATTAGCAGAATTGTTTGTATGCACTCTCCCACTATTGTTGCTCTAATTCTATTGTGGAACATCAGGGACTGCCTTTATAGATAGAAACTGACCTTGACCTTGGCAAGGATAGAATTAATAGGGGACAGCCTTCGTAAAAAGTCACAGCAGCATAAATATGGAAAAGTGTATGAATTGGAAATGACCTGAAATATGCCCAACAAATTTATACTGTAGTAGAAATAAGTTTTGCAGTCCCCCCCGTCCCCCCCATTACTAATCATTTACAGGTTTCTCTTTTCTCCTTGCCTCTTCCTAAAATAGTGATTCTCAGCCAGGGTGCTATAGCTTCCTGGGGTACCTTGAGAACCTTTCAGGATTGCTGCAGGATGTCATACAATGTTAACTCTGTTAGGTGTTCAGACATCATTTACAAGATAAACCCAGAGTTTTCAAATAGGAACTCATAGTGTTAAAACATTCTGATCTGTTGTGGTCTTTCTGAGTTCTTCACAATACAAGAGTTGCTTTATTATTTTTCTGTAGTTAAAAAAAAAAGAAAAAAAAAGTGAAAACTAAGAGCTGACATTTTCTGAGAGATGCGTTGAGTCTATTAAGGGTGCCTTAAGTCTGAAAAGGTTGAGAACCACTGTTCTACAGTGTATCAGTTTGGATGTTAGTTGTGACCACAAAGGATTTTTAAGGCTATAATTCATCCATAAAGGTCCAGTGAGGGGCTTTGATTCTTTTAAATGTGCTAGCAACATTGAAGTCATTCAGACCAGATCTAATATTTTCAGTTCTCTAGTACTGTGCTGGCTTGATACTGTGGAATTGTCTCATATACATTTTTATTTAGTAACTTATTTGGAGTTATATACCTGTTTTTTTGCCACAAGAGTCTGCTTGGGTTATCCAGGTGATGTGCTCTTGCTCTTGTCTGAGTGACAGTGAAGTTTAACATAATTGAATGTTTCAAGCCTTCACTTATTGAACCCTATTTAACATACATTTATGTAATGTCTGTTTTTGCAAAGTCTTGCATCTTTAAAATGTGAAACACCAAGTTCAAAAGAGTTTTATACATGAAAATAGTTATGGACAAATTCAATGATATAACACAGACAATACAATATCAGGAACATCAAGTCTGGATAGCTCACTTTTAAAACTCAAGGATGAAAGGAGGACAGTTGGAGACCTCTTAAAGGGATACTGTCAGATTTAAGTGTTCCTACTAAACTGAGCAGTCATTGCAGAATCAGCAGTTTAGGAAAGAATGATCATCTCAATTTTCTGTTTTCCTAAAAAGACAGTACTCCGTTTTCTTCCCTAATTTTCTCTTGTGCTACCTCTTTATACGAAACACAGGTTTGTTTTTTTTTTGGTATAGTACTCATCTTTAATTAAACGTTTGTATTTATTTTTGTATACTATTAGGTTAGTTGAAGGCAAGACTTTCATTGTTTGTTTTTTTTTATCTTGCTTTTGAAATTGAGGCTATCTCTAATTTTAATTGAAAAACTGTGCCCATAAATATTGTTCTTAAAGCTGACCAGCTTCATAGTGCAAATGTAGTATTCCTCAGTATATCACATGGTACTGTCACTTTTCATTTAAAATCAACTTTTTCAAAACTTATTTCTTAATGAACTTAATCAGATTAATTTCATTTAGTCACATCTGTTCATGATTGTTTTCCCCTTTTACAAGCCATACAAATCATGAAATTAAGCTAATTATATACCATTATCAGCTGCAAAGAACTAGTTTCACAGCTTTATACCTTTTAATTCCCTGCAGGAGATTAAGGCTTGTTTTTTGTTAATGTGGAAAGTGCAGTAATTTAAATGGATTTCCCTGCAATTATCACCAAAGGATTAACCAGTTTATTATTGTTTTTCACAATTCTAAATTGGTTCTAAAACATTACATTTTATGTGTTCTTATTGATGGCAGTACTTGTCATGCTATTAAAAACCATTCTCTAAACAGAGCCGCTATATACAAGTAATTATAGTACTGCTATAAAGCAAAAGAGTTACTGTGATGCAATGTGATTTCTTTGAGTAATAAACCTGGACCTCCCCACCACCTTTTTGGTGTGGGGTTTACTATATTTACACAGGTGATGATGAGCAAAGTGACTGGTTTCATGAAAATGAATCTGGCGGCGCATGTGGAATCACAGGAATCAGTTCTTGGTGGGAACAGGAGGACTCTGCAGAATTGGAAAAAGAATTACCCGATCCAGTCTTTGAAAGTATCTTAACTGGTGCTTTTCCTCTTATGTCCCATTCAGGGAGAAGAGGTCAGTAATACTTTACAGCTTACTTAGCCTAGTTTCAATGGAAAGATGTCTGTGGGCCTGTATTTGAGATATAAAGTGTGAAGTTATCAGTCTTGATCTTGGGGCATCATCAGGTTGAGAGTTCATACACTTTTTAATTTAGAGTATCGTCAAGACTAGCAATAAAAAGGGACAAAAAACCCTGACAGTGATTATAAAGGTCAAGTTATATGAAAGATACCTTTGTTGTCTGATCCTTTAAATCTGCATTCTGCAAGGAGTTGTCATGACTTCATTGGACTCGTGTATAAAACATCAAGATAATTCTGTGCATTTTGTAATAAAAGCTTTAACGCTTAAAAAAGAAAATAATTTTAGAAGCAAAAATGGTATTCATGTAGGTTCAGTAATAAATACAAATGTTCAGTAATGTTCAACTAGAATCTTTGGACTTCTTTGTTTCCAAGGTTTCCAATAATTTTAGTATTTTGTGTAAGTAGATTGATTCATGGACACTAGCCAGAAAAGACCACAATGATCTCTTTTGCTTTACAGCATACACAAGCCACAGGTTTTTTTTTCCCCAGAAACTGAGTTACAGCATAGATTTTATAAGGATGCCTGATTCTTATCTTCAAAAGGCTCCAAACAAGGGTGGATCCTATCATTCTCTGCTATCTGTTCCAACATTGCTACAGTTCTTTAACAGTGAGAGGTATCTTATTTCAAGGTTGAATTTGCCCTTAGTTCAACTTTCAGCCATTGGATTTTGTCCATGCCTACTCTACAAGACTGAATATCCTCTCTTTAGCAGGTACTTTTCCATTAGGAAAACTTATGCTCAAGTCAACTCGAACTTTTTTAATAGCTGAATAGATTGAACTTAAAGTCTTGCATCACATGACTTGTTTTCCTGCCCTTTGGAATCATTTCTAGCCTACTTTTGTATTTTCCCTGGTGTTTCCATGTTGTTTTTGAAGTGTGGACACCAGAACGGGAGAAAGCAGGGGTCAGTGACATTTTACATTGTCAGGCTCAGGTTGAAGGTGGGCCAGCACAGGGACCTGTCTGCTGCTGCTGCCACTTCTCCCTGCTGCCCACCTGCCACCAAGTGCTACTAAAGCTTTTGTTCCACAGGCCAGATCCAGGAGCTCTGTGGCACAGATCTGATCTGTGGGCTGTAGATTGCTGACCCGTGAGGAAAAGTGGTCCTGTAATCATTTTAAAAGTGCTGGGAACAGAAGCAAAATAATTTCTCTATTCCTACCTGCCCTTTTCATAATTCAAAGAATAAAATTAGCACTTTTAGATCCACCACTGTACTGAGAATGTGTCTGTAAGCAGTTACCTATGATGCCCATTGTCTTTCTTAAGTTGGTAACTTGATCCTGTATAAAAATGTTTTCTAAACAGAGATATAATTCTGATTTGTAGGTTTCCAGAATAGACTTAATCATCTTCGTGGAATGCCAGCAAGGAACATCAAAAAGGCTTCGGGAAACCAGGCAGCATTGGTAGGCATGATTTTTAGTGTTGCATACTAACTTGAACTATTCTTTTAATTAGGGGAACTACAATAATAAAGATTTCCATATTCCCTTTTCATTGAAATTTTAAGTTTATATATTGCTGAAATGGTTAATTCTCTTAACAGGGCACAAACTGCTGTGGTAAGATGCAACTATAAATCAGTTTTAACACCCAAGTTTTGGCTTTTTGGTTAAGATATTTTAATTCTAACTCTCCTCTCCTACAATATGCCATTGTAATGGAATAGCATATGTATTCAAACAGATTATTCCTTTATGCTTATATTATGAGCTCTCTAAGAAAAAGGAATGTATTTTTTTTCAGTGCATGTATGTACAAAAATAATTTTTGCTTTTTCATTTATTTCATACCAAAGGTGTCAAAACTGATTTTAATCAACTATACCAGGTACTAAGTGTATTCTAGTGAGGCTGTGTGGCATCCAGGATTAATGTACTAGTCTCTCTCCCCTGCCCTTTCCCCTTCCCCCGCCTTCCCCCAGGGCGCTTCTATGTCCCTTTAACCCTCAAGTTTTCATGTTTTTAGGGTTTTTTTGCCATAAATTAAAATGAGGTTAGTGGTCTGATACTCCTCATATATACCCATCACACAATCCCCTGGCTGCTTCAGACTGTTTCGAGTTTTTGGGTACAAACATTGGTAATATGTCTAATACGTCTCTTCAATTTTAGTTCCTAAGGAAAGAGGAAAGTCCAATTATCACCCCCTTTCCTTCTGTACTCTTAATTCAGCTTTTAGAATATTCCTTCTAGAAGAATGAGTGAGAGAAGAGCAGCTTTCAAAACACAAAATTCAGATTACTAATAGAAGTGGGATCTAATCCTTTCTTTTTCAAAACGGAGCATGAGGGGCAAAGAGAAAGCCAGAAGAACTCGTTTCACTATAATTATTTAAGGCTTCTCTCTGTTTGATAGTTACTATATAACAGGATAATAAATACATAGACCTTCAGCATAGTGTTCTTCATTATTAATGGATCTGTTGATTTTTTTTTTTTTTTTAAACTAATTAGAATAATATGGTGGCAAGAAGTGGAAGTGGTATTACATGTGCAAAGCATAGATAGGTCTACTGAAAAGTTACCCTTTTTTGAGACGGGTATTTTATAATCGAAGTCTCCATTCAATTATTGCCACTCAGAGCTGAATAAGATGCTTTAAAACCTTGGCCTATGAACTCTGGTCATGAATTAGATGAATGCTATCTAGTTCTTGGTTTCAGATCTACCTATTTTTATTTTTGGTTCACTGCTTGCTTGAGCATATCTGGGATTTGTAGCCCATTTTCTAGGCTTATTGCAATCTCACTCTGGTATTTTATAGGAGCTATTACAACTGATAGGTTAGCTTCATGGTATTGATGATACATGACTTAACCACCCTAAAAACTGCATTTCCCTCTAAATTGTAAAAAGATGATTAAGTTTCAGTTGATGGAGAGATACCATTTGTGTATGTGTGTGTGTATGTGCGTGCACATGCATGTGCATATAATGAGTAATATTGTTTTTCTAGTACAATTTCTGCATTCTTCTAAGCAACAACATTCCTTTCCAAATAAAATTCCTCTAGTATGTTGACAATATATTTTCATTCCTGAATCTATTAAAGAAAATAATTTATCTAAATAATAATTTTATCATTGTGTAGCATTATGACTGGATAGAATGTTCTAAGAGGGCATGTTTTCAAAGGATGGTAAAATGATTTTACCTACAGAATCCCACATTTGGAGGAAAAATATATTGGACACATCTACAACGAGCTGCCAGCATACAGAATCTCCTGACTTGCATGCATCCTTGGTGTTCATTTATTTCTACATCCATGCACTTTACTTCCACTTTGGAAGTTTTAGCTCTTTAAGGCAGAACACAAGAGCTTGTTTGTTATCAGTGAGCAATTTTCAAATAAAATCTTTTAAATACTTCAATCCAATGGCAAAAAGAAAAAAATCATTTAATACCTGTGACATCTGATAAGGCAGAACAAGAAGTAATTACTGCTGTTAGATTGTTACACTGAAGTGCAAGAATGCTTTTAGAAAGATTAATATCCTGAGCAAAGAAGAACACTGCGGACTCAACCCATTGAACAGAATTGTGCTGGTGACCTAATTATTTCATTTTTAACGGAGATGAGGCTGTGATGTCTAGAGCAGTGATACCTTTTCTCCCTTTCAAAGTCTGTGAAAACTGAATTCTCTTCTACGGAATGTTAGAGTATAGTGTACCCATTTTAGTAATTATGTTTAATCAAGGAATAATGCCTTGTAATCTTATGCATAAGATTACAAAGCATTATTCAGTGTGCACTGAGCTTTGCACCCATGCAGAGTTCAGTTGAACACAGTGGGGCTCTGCACATTCAAATTAAGGATTCTTCTACAGGATCAGGACCAACGTGGTAAAATCCTGAAAAAATGTAACCTGTTTTGGAGGGGCAAAAGTGTTTAGCTCCAATACATAATCATCATCTACACAAGAAATTAAAGTTTATCATAAATGTTCACTTCATTTTTTGTAAGATAACTAGTCAGTTTGTCATACTTCTTATCATTTGCATCTAGCGGGCAGTGACTACTCATACAGGTATCTGACTCTCCATATGTTTCTGTTGCTAGTAATGAAAGTTTGAGACTCTAGGACAAATGCTATGCTCTGTGGGTCAGTCAGTAGTTTTTATTTCATATTTGCCTTTGCAAGCCATGTATTGTAGCAGATACTTTGCCTGATTATTTGTCAAACATATTTTAATAGAACAATTTAGCTATGTTTAAAAAAAACTTTAAGTACAATTTTGCTATAGTTGTCTTTGTCTTTGTCACTGCTATACTGCTTTTGAGTATGGGCATAAAAATACATTCCCACCGTGGTAAACTAGGGCATGAATTTATAGTCTAACAGCTGCTCTGTGCTAGATACCCATGTGCATTTTCCTACTTTGCGTTGAAGGTGAGGTGGTTTTACCACCCAGTGAAAGTGGGATAAGAACTTGTACATAATCAGTTACCACAATGTGCCAGAGATGCTAAGTTCAAGCTGTCCTTGCTTATCTTGTAACTTGTTCAAGCATCCATACAGTTTGTTGACAGATTCACCTTTTTAATGACCCAACTCTCCCCCTCATGCTTGGTTCATGTATTGTTGTCAAAATAGTGTATTATTTTACATTAGCAAGACACATGGAATGAAGATTGCTATCTAGTGAAGTAGGCAGGTAAGATGGAGAAACTGAAGGAGACAGAGGAGCATGCATGATAGGACTAAAAGTGACCATTGAATAGCTGTCTGTTTGCTATACATTGTTTAACCAATATGCCAAATGAGACACAGGTCTCAGGAAAAAAATATATGCTCATGTCATTTAATTATTTTAGTACAATATGTAAATGCAAAGAGGTAAAATCAAAATTGAGCAGACAACCTTAACTTTGGCATTGCATGTCTTGATTGCTTTTTATATATTGCATATATTTATTTATCTCTACAAATTTCCTGAACAATTCTTTTGATTAGACTTAAATATGCCATATTTGTAGTGGGTATGTAATAAATAATTTTAAAGCCATGGGAGTAACTTGTTATAACTCCTACAACATATCAGTATTTGATACTATAGATTTTTTAGACAATGTTATAATATAAAATCTTATAGGACTTGGCATACTTGGATTTCTTTTTTAGTTTTTTTTTTTATGTTCTTATTATATAAATCCAGAACACTATTATTAAAAGACAATTCAAAGGTGGTGTTGACAAGTGACATCACTATGATGCTTGTTCCTTAATACTAAAGGTTTTCAGGCTACAGTACTACGTTAGCTATGCTAAGTTGAGATATATCAGACTGTATCCCTAGGATCCCCATCATGTTACTGAAGAGATCTTGTGATTTAACAGAATGCTTCTAACATGGTTAGAAATTAAACCTGTGTGAATAGGGAAATATTCGATTTGGCCAATTTGGAGGACAATGATTCGATCTGACAATTCAAGTCACTGTCCCCATTCGATTCAGCTGAATCAGAATTGGAGATTTGGCACCGATTCGGAGATTCAGATTGGCTGGGGAGAGGCAGGCACAGCCAAGC